TATTCTCCCATGCTACCTTGGTTTCTGTTCTATGAAGTCAATGTCCTGAAACATAAACCTGCCGCTAATTTGATATGGCTTGAAAAGACTCATTAAAGCCAGTACGCATATGAAGATTAATGCACATATATATGTCATGTTTTGCCTGAGGAGGCCCGTTTTAGGTGAAATTGCATCAAAAATATGTTTCTTTATGTGACACTAGGACTGAAATGGTAAACATGCCTGTATCATATGGCATCGCCTTCAGCAAGATCACGGATCTGTTCCATCAAGTAATCATAACGCTACGATGATCGTAAGTCAGTGTTGGAGCTATGATTTCATTGTGGAACTGGCTTTTACAAAACGTAAGCAGTGTTTCACAACGAAGATCTCCATACTTAATCGCACTAAAATGCAAATCACACAACGCATTTATTCATAAAGCAGCAGCCATATAAAAATGACCTTTGGACGAGTTAATCATGGTGGATGTCTGATGCACACAATGAATCAGTGTTAGCTTGGAGTGATATATTTTGCTGTCCGTTAGAAAAATGCGAGCTGGGTGACATTGTCGTGGAGCAGACACGTGTATCATTTGCTCTGTCTGAGTAACAACCTGTTACTGAATTTACATTCTCAACCACTACCATCGTGTCGCTCGCGTTGAGTGGTTTAGCCTTCATCTGACTTCCGTGTGAAACCTGAATGTCTGTTATTTGGTTATAAACATTAATGTCAACATGTGAAAAACCTCTTGTGTTTACACAAGTATTTTATTGTTCTAAATGCTATAATGTCTTACATGTTGATTTGCGTGAAAAATCGTTTGATACGATATTTGGATAAGAAATTCCACGAGTGAAAAATCAATAGTGTATATACAGGTATTATATTGCGTAAACTTTTATGATCTTGTGAGTGTCTTACATGTTGATTTGGGTGAAAAATCCTTTGATACGACAATTGAGAAAGAGTCTCCATTTTGTTCGATATTGGGCGATATTGTGTGTTGGTCTCGTTAGTTCGTTCTTTAATAATGCTGGAGGACAATCTGGTCTCTTGTTAACGTGAAACTGTATATTCGGCGTGTTCTTTAACTCTGCAGTTAGGGTCATAACAAGACATTTATCCAAACGCCCTCATAACGGTTCACTCTGGACAAAAATAGCTAAACCCGCTGGAGCAACTGGAGGCTGGAGAATATAACTACTTTACAACGGGTAATTGAACTATGCGTCTCCAAGTACCACTAAAAGTATAAATGTTTATGATGTTTTAAGAATCAGATGAAAATTCATGTCATGGCTCCAGTAACGGGATCTTTACTTTATCTTGATAAAATGTACCTGGTTATGATGCAGGTGGAACCAGAGCATAAAAACTAAAATGAAATGGCGCTTTGAATGAACAGATACACCGCTGCCATCACTTGCGGTAGGACCCCACGGCTGTGTAATGATTTACTTCTCTCGAAATATTATGTCAGTTTTGTTCAGTATGTATTATTCTTGCACACTGCCCTATGCTTGTTTGTATCTGTTTCACGTGTTAGGCAATGTGCGTTAAGTACGAAATTATCAGTTTTAATGACATTATCTTTGACATGCGTTCCGTAGTTGTCCAACCATTTTTCAGAATCACTTCTCTAATGCCAATACTTTGACAATAACAACATAACATTACATTCCAGTCACATTTAGTGTGCAGCAAACGCTTGACGCTTTTCTGTATAAACCAGCATCTGTTTCTTCTCAATCACAACTTCTGAGAAGGTTGCCCTGTGTCAGCAGCGTGAGAAGAAGTCGTAAGTACGACCTCTATTCCTGGAGCCTGATACCGCCTCCCTTTATCATGAAGATGAAGAAGATGATACCAAGTTATCAAGCGTATCATCGCCCATCCTCGTCTTTATCGATCCACACAGCAGTTGCGGCTGTTACTCTCCACGATTACCAAAGATCAAAGGCAAAATCGATAGTCTTTAGCTCTGAAGAATTACATTAGGTCCATGTAAGGGTGGTATGCACCATTTCCTAAAGTTTACTTATTACACGTTCCATAAAAGAACCTATTCCTCGGTGATAAAACCAGTTATTGCTCTCTCTGTGTATCTGTACATTTGTCCTTGAAGATGATTTATTTCTTAGAACGTTATCGATCGTGATTTAAACACATTACATTGTCTTGGGAATCATTGGGACTACCCTCTTACAGTTGTTGGAAGGAACATTTCAAGTAAACATGAAATCAATATTTGATATATTATTTGAGAGATTACTCCGACCATCTGACCTCCATAGGGGATAGGATTGAAAAATTATCAGCCGCAATAGTAGATTTAAAAGATCAACTCCAAAGAATGAACATTATGAAATATCTATTGACAAAAATCCCCAAGGTTATGAAAGGCAAAATTGTGGCGGATATTATGTGACTGGGTCGGTGAAATGAACAATTATACCATGGGGTAGTTTTTCAATCGGGTGCAAGACCAAGGCATTAATCGGTAGGTAGTCGGTTAATTCCTGAAGGACTGACTGACTGACTGAGTTTGGTTTTACGCCGCTTTTAGCAATATTCCAGCAACATCACGGCGGGGGACACCAGAAATGGGCTTCACACATTGTACCCATGTGGGGATTCGAACCCGGGTCCTCGCCGTGACGAACCAACGCTTTAACCACTAGGCTACCCCACCGCCCCAATTCCTGAAGGACAGCACTGGACGGAACAATACTCAAACCAGTTTGGATAATGACCGCTGTTATTTGTAGCAATGAAGTAGAGGCGAGAAAACCCTTTCCGCATCCAGACTAAATGTTTGCTAAAAGCGTAGGAGTTTGTACAATTTCGACTATATCATAAGCGTGTTATTATTGATCACTATCCAGTGGTGAAGATACCAGTGAGCATATCCTACCCAACTGGTTGCATCCGTCATAAACAAATGCAAAGGCTTGTCCATTCGTGACCTGAATAAAGCACGGACGGTATATTGGTAAATATAGACATGCTCACCATTGTATCGAACACCTTGTATTCAGTGATTTGTGAATGCAGTTCGTTGAATTTAATGCCTCCATAATATTTGTACTTTGTTTTTCTTCCAGGTAATATGTATACCCTAAAGGAACTGTTCTTTCCTTCCCGATCCTATTTTGTTTAAATGGACAATACAAACCTATCACTCGAGTAGTAACAGCAAATTCCAGTGTGGGTGGCAATCATGACTGGTCTCGTATAAATTGAGCAAATTTCCAATAAATGCCGTTATTTTTTGTATTCGGCGTGAGCAAATTAATCTCGTGAGGAATTTAAAATGCTACATGTACATACATAACAGTACATACATTAATGCATCTGAAAGCCCGCTCTCAAGGAATTATGTCCATTTGTCTGCTTCTGCTTTGGAGGCCTTAAATACGTAGGTGGTGGGTATTTATATTTTGCTGGGAAAGGAAGGAAGAACTTATTTTCCACGAGTCAATATCTCCACAGCGTGTGGTGTTGGCTGTTCCAGGCAGAGGTAATTATTTGTGTGGCATGATTTGACTTTACAAAAAATGTTGAATTCAAAACGAACAATGACTTACGAATCACCGGTGCATGATTAAATCAATTCTCGGCCCATTGTCTATATTGATTGCATGCACATACGTTACTGTTCCAAGCAAACATCTCCTCAGTCGCATATACTCTTCAATACTGGTCAAACTAAATCTAAATGCATCCTACTTCCTAAACACAAAGGACCCAAGCCGTCACCAATGGCATCGTTGTTGTACCATGTGATAATGACAATCACCTGATTGTCTGGTTTGTGGCCTGCTGCAGTCGCATGGCAGGAATATGGCTGTGCGGTGTCAAACGCAAACATTTTAATGCTAGTTCTGTGAATGATGGTTGCGTCCAGCTGGACAGGACATGCTTAACCCTTTTCTCCTGATGCCAGCAATCCGTTTCAGTGATTCATTTGTACAGTTTCCGTCGCTCTTTTGAATTTTAAGCCCATTAGAATCTGTTTCGTCGAATAATCGAGACTCGTTTATCCTCTTGGGTTGACATTTTACATTTTCTGTCAAAGACATATTTAATTTAGTTTGCATAAAATGGAATGTGGAACAGCAAATTCTCAGACAAAATATTAACAGTAGAACCGACTTCTACACGCTCAATTCTTCGGGCTAAGCTGATATTAACAAATGCCTTTTGGAATCACACGACATCCTAACATGTAATGTAACGTAAACATTCGATATTTGTAGTAACAACATGAGCTGACGTGCCTTTCATATAATCGCAGTTGTTTTTATGATTATGAAGAAAATGACCTCGTCGACAGTTTTAGCGCTTAAGTCGTGGCGTTTTAGCGAGAGTTTCATTGGTGAAGAACACACTTTAAGCTTGTAAGTAGACAATAAGCTTTTATTGTTCTACAAGACAAGATGCTGATGATCACAGAAGTATATTATTACAGTAGCTGCACATTGGACCTCAAGTCATCTAAAGCACCAGAGAAGGGCGGGCCATACGAGATAATATTTGTACAGAAATGCATAAATCGTAATTATCATCAACGCAATATCCGTTTGATCTCAAAGCTTGTTTCCGTTTGCAGATACTCAAGTAGGTTAAGGCTTACTTCAAACTGAATGGTCTTGGCACGTGCTACTACAACAGCTTCAATGTAGAAATATCTCACAAGCATATCGACCATCGAGAACACTATACACTATGCATAAAATGATGTTTTATGTGAACAAATTATTACTGGAAATATGAACATAATTTCATCAATGAGTTACATGCTGTACGTTCTGGCATGTATCATCTTGTAGGATATCAATCATCAATACTTCTTTTGTTCTTAACCATTGTAGGACGAAGTAAACATTAAGACTCTCTACTTTGTTATGTGAAACACTATGTTTATTTACAATTGCAGATAGTTGAACCCAAGCGTGATAAATGTCCTTTCTCAATGATGAAAACATGAATAGACATGGGACACATTTCAAGATTCGTCATCCATTCACTTTATTCGCTCTCCCAGTGGACATGTGTCTGTTTAGTGTATTTCTGTCAAAAATTACAAAGTTGTCAAAATCAGTTTTCTAGTTTTTGATCTACGACACATTTGTTGCAAAATTTGGTTTCCAGCTATTTTCTTCACAGGGGTCATGTTGTTGCCTTCTGAATTACTTAATTCTCATTTGATTCAAGTTCAGATGTAGACACTACTCGAGAACTGTTGCTGTACTAACGGCACACACACAAATGGTATAGGCAGCCGCTGGGTGACATTTGTCGAAATATCCATGATCATTGGAATGAATATGAAAATATTATGTACTATCTGATATATAGATTTATCCAAATTCTTAGTCCATGAAATGTCCAGCATCGTAAACACTCCCAGCTCTTGATTGCTCTTGAGAGAACACTCACTGTCGATGACGTCATTCATTTGAAGATTTATTTCACTTTTCGGAGACTTGCTCTTCCAAAAATAGATTTTTGTCACATGATCTCCAAGGAGAGAAATCTCTTTTATTCATTGGATCTCTCGAACAGTTCGTTGTTGCCAACAAAACCATCATCTACGGAAAAGAAATAAAGTGGAAATGTTAGCCAATCGGTACATAAAATGTAGCTATCATTTGTGGTGTCAAAGTTATGATACATCCATATAAATACCATTAGAAAATATTGTACCTTTTTCAGAAAGAAGATATCTCCTATTATATCTCAATGTTCTTATGTACATTATACATTGTTCCTTGACCATACGTGTATATTCAGGGAAAAGTCATTAACAGGATGACCATGGAAATATCCTGCGTTCATGACAACCACAGCCGATACAAGACCACCCCTCCAAAATGAGTCCTTATGGGCTATCAGATGGTGTTGTAAGTATGTCCTCCCAACTACCACCTGCACTACTGGGGCAGTTCCTCCACCTACCACCTGCACTACGTTGGATTTTCCTTCCACTTAACACCTGTGCCTCGTCGGTACTAAATTCCACAGAACATCTGCGCCACAAAGTGGTTACTCACGGCCCAGCTCCTGCTCCACAAAATAATTACCTACCACGTAACTCCTGCTCCACAAAGTGGTTACCTACCACCCAACTCCTGTTCGACAAAATAATTACCTACCACCCAACTCCTGCTCCACAAAGTAGTTACCTACCACCCAACTCCTGCTCCACAAAGTAGTTACCTACCACCCAACTCCTGCTCCACAAAGTAGTTACCTACCACCCAACTCCTGCTCCACAAAGTAGTTACCTACCACCCAACTTCTGCTCCACAAAGTAGTTACCTACCACCCAACTCCTGCTCCACAAAGTAGTTACCTACCACCCAACTCCTGCTCCACAAAGTAGTTACCTACCACCCAACTCCTGCTCCACAAAGTAGTTACCTACCACCCAACTCCTGCTCCACAAAGTAGTTACCTACCTCCAACTCCTGCTCCACAAAGTAGTTCAAAGTAGTTACTTACCACGTAACTCCTGCTCATCAAAATGGTTACCTACCACCCAACTACCACCAAGTTGCAACCTACCACCCAACTCTTGCTCCACAAAGTAGTTACCAACCACCCAACTCCTGTTCGACAAAATAATTACCTACCACCCAACTTCTGCTCCACAAAGTAGTAACCTACCACCCAACTTCTGTTTCACAAAGTAGTTACCTACCACCCAACTCCAGCTCCACAAAGTAGTTACCTACCACCCAACTTCTGCTCCACAAAGTAGCTACCTACCACGTAACTCCTGCTCCACAAAGTAGTTACCTACCACCCAAGTCCTCCTCCACAAAGTAGTAACCTACCACCCAACTTCTGCTTCACAAAGTAGTAACCTACCACCCAACTTCTGTTTCACAAAGTAGTTACCTTCCACCCAACTCCTGCTCCACAAAGTAGTTAACTACCACCCAACTTCTGCTTCACAAAGTAGTTACCTACCACCCAACTCCTGCTCCACAAAGTAGTTAACTACCACCCAACTTCTGCTTCACAAAGTAGTTACCTACCACCCAACTCCAGCTCCACAAAGTAGTTACCTACCACCCAACTTCTGTTTCACAAAGTAGTTAACTACCACCCAACTTCTGCTTCACAAAGTAGTTACCTACCACCCAACTCCAGCTCCACAAAGTAGTTACCTACCACCCAACTTCTGCTCCACAAAGTAGTTACCTACCACCCAACTCCTGCTCCACAAAGTGTTATCTACCACCCAACTCCAGCTCCACAAAGTAGTTACCTACCACCCAACTTCTGCTCCACAAAGTAGTTAACTACCACGTAACTCCTGCTCCACAAAGTAGTTACCTACCACCCAACTCCAGCTCCACAAAGTAGTTACCTACCACCCAACTTCTGCTCAACAAAGTAGTTACCTACCACGTAACTCCTGCTCCACAAAGTAGTTACCTACCCTCCAACTTCTGCGCCACAAAGTAGTTATTTTCCATGTAACTCCGCTCCACAAAGTAGCTACCCACCACGTAATTCTTGATCCACAAAGTAGTTACTTACCACGTAACTCCTGCTCACCAAAATGGTTACCTACCACCCAACTACCACCAAGTTGCAACCTATCACCCAACTCTTGCTCCACAAAGTAGTTACCAACCAGCCAACTCCTGTTCGACAACATAATTACCTACCACCCAACTTCTGCTTCACAAAGTAGTAACCTACCACCCAACTTCTGTTTCACAAAGTAGTTACCTACCACCCAACTCCTGCTCCACAAAGTAGTTACCTACCACCCAACTCCTGCTCCACAAAGTAGTAACCTACCACCCAACTTCTGCTTCCACAAAGTAGTTACCTACCACCCAACTTCTGCTTCACAAAGTAGTTACCTACCACCCAACTCCTGCTCCACAAAGTAGTTACCTACCACCCAACTCCTGCTCCACAAAGTAGTTACCTACCACCCAACTCCTGCTCCACAAAGTAGTTACCTACCACCCAACTTCTGCTTCACAAAGTAGTTACCTACCACCCAACTCCTGCTCCACAAAGTAGTTACCTACCACCCAACTTCTGCTCCACAAAGTAGTTACCTACCACGTAACTCCTGCTCCACAAAGTAGTTACCTACCACCCAACTTCTGCGCCACAAAGTAGTTATTTTCCATGTAACTCCTGCTCCACAAAGTAGCTACCCACCACCCAACTCCTGCTCCACAAAGTAGTTACCTACCACCCAACTCCTGCTCACCAAAGTGGTTACCTACCACCCAACTACCACCAAGCTGCTATCCTACCAAACTCTTGCTCCACAAAGTAGTTACCAACCACCCAACTCCTGCTCCACAAAGTAGTACTACCTACCACCCAACTTCTGCTTCATAAAGTAGTAACCTACCACCCAACTTCTGTTTCACAAAGTAGTTACCTACCACCCAACTCCTGCTCCACAAAGTAGTTACCTACCACCCAACTCCTCCTCCACAAAGTAGTTACCTACCACCCAACTCCTCCTCCACAAAGTAGTAACCTACCACCCAACTTCTGCTTCACAAAGTAGTTACCTACCACCCAACTTCTGCTTCACAAAGTAGTTACCTTCCACCCAACTCCTGCTCCACAAAGTAGTTACCTACCACCCAACTTCTGCTCCACAAAGTAGTTACCTACCACCCAACTCCTGCTCCACAAAGTAGTTAATTTCCATGTAACTCCGCTCCACAAAGTAGCTACCTACCACGTAATTCTTGATCCACAAAGTAGTTACTTACCACGTAACTCCTGCTCCACAAAATGGTTACCTACCACCCAACTACCACCAAGTTGCAACCTACCACCCAACTCTTGCTCCACAAAGTAGTTACCAACCACCCAACTCATGTGCTTCTTCTGGGTTTTCGCTCATCTTGATACCACAATCCCTCATATCATTGAAATATTGCTCAAACTGGCTTTACTTCTTATTCCCTCTAAGTTCAAAGAGTAAGACAACTCACCATCGACATCAACGAATTTGCGTATCAAGGCTTCTGCTAATGTTGGGTTGTTCGCGACCAGGTTTGCCAAATCTTCTACCGACAACAAATGTCTGAAAGAGAACAATAAACACATTACTATACAAGTCCATACTATGCGGTGACACAAATACAATGAACCCTCGACACAATAAACTGAAAGGCGATTCCAAAGTAGCCTGTCATGTCCCAAATTTGTTATACATGCTTAATTCTTCTCTAGGTGCACAACTGATGAAGGAGCAAGCCTATACTCAACAACGTTGTGTTCCTCATAATACAATAGTTGACGTCCATTGATTCTCTGCATTATAAATGTAACACATATAATATACTTGGAAATTCCTTTGTTGTCATCATTGTGTTAAATACAGTCAAATGTATGGTACAAATTTTGTCTTAACCGTGTACCTATACAATTATTCGAATAGCAATTATTCCAGGTTTTCACGTGGAGAACGTATCCTGACCAACTGTACGTGGGGCACTCTTGAAACATACATGCATGGACCAGTGCATTGTTCATATGAACAAACACTGGAACAAATGGTACAGGACAAACTGGTCATTTTGTTTCAAATTTTGAAATATACTGAGTCAAAAAAGAAACTTCACATTCTTTCTGCAGGGCACTATAAAAGAACAAGAGATGGTAAGATGGTTAAATTGCTATTATTTCATTGCTGAGATCTGTGTGATGTACTCGATACACTGACACTGCCATAATCAGTTCCATTAGGCTACCCCGCCGTTCCAAAACATGGGTATACAGAATGTCAAGTCACAAGAATAAAAATGCGAAATTTCTCAGTTCAATATCGTGTATGGCCGCCCCGCGCATTCACCACTGCCAAACACCGTCTCCTCATCGACTGCCTGATTCTTGTGAACACGTGGTTGGGGATTCTGCGCCATTGCTCTTGCAAGGCAGCGCCAAGTTCCTGCAAATTCTGAGGTTGGTTCCTAAGAACACGAAGCCTTCTCCCAAGTGCATCCCAAACGTGCTCTATTGGATTAAGGTCAGGGGACCTCGATGGCCAGTCCATGACGATGATTCCAGCGTTTTGAAGGAAATTTCGTGTCAACATCGCGGTATGCGGCCGAGCATTATCATGCTGGAACTGTAGACCTGGGCCATGAGCCGCCATGAAAGGAACGAGTTCAGGGGTGAGCACCTGGTCGCGGTAAGCAGCAGCTGTGAGGTTTCCACGGATGACCAGAAGTCGGGAACGTTTGTTCCCACAGAAAGCAACCCACACCATGCAACTTCCGCCCCCGAATCTGTCGACTTCCTGTACACAACATTGGGCATACCGTTCACGACGTCGTCTCCAGACTCTCTGCCTACCGTCCGCGAATTCATCGCTAAAGACGACTCGATTCCAGTCTCTCTGGGTCGATCGGAGGTGACGTTGGGCCCACAGCAGACGTTGACGTTGATGAAACGGCGTCAATATTGGCCCACGATATGGACGTCGAATCCCATTGCTCTTGCGACGTCAATAACTGATCTTCCCGCTTGCAACATGCCAACGGCACGTTCACGTTGCACATTTGACAATCGTGGCATTGCAAGTACCGTTAGAACTGTGGTTTAAAAGTGTTTTTTCAATTCTTGAGGCCAATGCAAACACGTGCATATGAAGAAAACTTCGATGCGAAGATCACGTGATCGACTGCACGTGCAAAACCTGATTTGGCACTAACGTCATTTGCACGACGAATGGATGGGTTTGAGTGGGTTTTGCTAACGTTTTTCTAGAGTCGAAAGATAGGGATCCCATTTCGGATACATAGATGTATCATCAGAGAAAAATTATTCATTATTTTTCAAATTACATTTTGTGAAGTTTCTTTTTTGACTCATTATATCTTCCAATATCTGTACGGAATGGCATAGAACATTAGTTTTTATGACTGGTGCTTCCAATTTGGACATGCTCCGTACCTGTTAATAATAATTGTTTTTCGGATTTACTAAAGTCTTCAACGTTGTAACCATGATCAAACAACTTTTGTGACGGCACGCCTTGGAATCTTTTACACAAGGAGCAAGCTCGATTGATCCTCCAAGAGCTTTGAAATGAAGACATTAGGGTAATATGCTGGGATAATACGCGACATTAAGTTGAAGTCCTCCCTCTTGTTCTAGCCTGTAGATTTGTGACGAAATATTTCGTCACTCTGCATGAGTGGGAGTCACTAGTATTCAAACATTGATATGAAAGAGGTTTTCATTTACTGTACATACTGAATCTGATTAGGTAGATACATTAGATAAAATGTCAGCATGAGAATGAAGAAGATAAACACTTTTATCAGTTAACGTGAAGTACTTTCAGTAGTGTTATCGTCATCATATGAAATTTCAAAGAAATAAAGCAAAACGTTGATATCTACTTTCACTTAGCATAACCTTTATGGAGAGATGATAATATTCAATTACATTCCCGGATATTAGCTTTTTGAAGACAAAATAATGTAAGAGCTAGCATTACATATTTCTTTTCAAATGTTAGTGAGAACAGAGGAAGGTTTTTCCAAATCATTATATACTTTCTAGAGATTATAATGTCTTCCTTAATATGCCACGAACTGATAAAGAAAAATCTTTGAATCTCTATACACGTTAACAATTGGACGTATTCATTACAAGGAGTATTATGGATAACAATTTGTCATTACAAATACGTTTCAGGGCTTTTTTTGTCATATCAGGTAATTGACACACATGATTTAATGATTCTGTAATTAGACTGAAAAGTAAATGTCTCTTGCAGATATGCTCTTCCCAATAGGCAACCTATGCTTGTCGTAAGAGAGACTAACGGGATCGGCTAGTTGACTTGGTTGATGCATGTCATCGTACCACATTTGCCTATATGTAGATAGATGCAAATAAAATCAATCATTGGATTAAGGTAAAGATTCAATTAATTGCACACCGCCTTCATACATCTGACAGATGTTGCCGAGTGCGGTGTTGAACAACCAGATACAAAGAAAAATGTATGAGCTTATCTTAATGGTATTTTACCTGGTGAAAGGGCGAGAACAACCCTGAAAAGTCGTACATGTACAACGTAGAGGTTGTTATCCATGATACTCCTTGGCATGTTAACAACTCATTGTGCATTTTTTTTCATTCATTCATTCATTCATTCATTTTCATTCATTCATTCGTTCATTCATTCATTTTCATTCATTCATTCATTTTCATCATTCATTTTCATTCATGTATTCATTCATTCATTCATTCATTTTCATTCATTCATTCATTCATTCATTCATTCATTCATTCATTCATTCATTCATTCATTTTCATTCATTCATTCATTCGTAATGAACTGATGGCATAACGTGTTTTTCGGTCCAGGCCACATCTTACTCGAAATGTATACAATGAACAAGGGTTATAGGGAACTGTAAATTGTGGTCCCTTGTAGATTACTGAACATAGTAATACAGAACTAGAATGCCCACTATTACTTAAAGTTACTCAGCACCTGTCTCTAGGAAAAATGAGGTACTTCATGACAATAATATTTTGAAGATTTAAGAGGAAAGTACTCTAGCTATAGGCATAAGGACGTTTCATTATTCCTTTTTACTTTCAACCAACCTGGATATACGACGGACATTTATGGCATGGCATAGTACAGTATGGTGTGGTGTGGTGTCACGTATCGTAGTGTAAATGCTTGTGTAGTGTAGTGTGTGTGTGTGGTGTGGTGTGGTGTGGTGTGGTGTGTGGTGTGGTGTGGTGTGGTGTGGTGTGGTGTGGTGTGGTGTGGTGTGGTGTGGTGTGGTGTGGTGTGGTGTGGTGTGGTGTGGCGTGGTGTGGCGTGGCGTGGCGTGGCGTGGTGTGGTGTGGTTGGGTGTGGTGTGGCGTGGCGTGGTGTGGTGGGGTGGGGTGTAGAAAACCATTTAGGAAACAAAACGTCTACAAGACAACAGATCTGTTGAAGATGCAGTCAGTACATCAATTGCACAAATGGACCAGGAAAGCTTTGCATTTACAAAGTTGAATGAATGTTAAATCCTTACATGTTTGGTAATGTATCCATCTTCATAACATACACATGCACACGGAATCGTGAACTGAATAGCAGCCAGCTCTTTTAGATATAAAAATAAGATAATATATGTTTCTCCTGAAGTACCCTAAGGTATGACTATAAACGACGCCTACCTCCGTTGAACGTTAATCATTCCTTATTCCAGAAACGCCAATAACACAATTGGCAGCAATCACAGTTGTTATCGACACCACATCCATATTCCAATGGTCATAAACAGAGCAGGACATAAGTACAGACACAATCCATTATGAACGTCCATGTATGGGCAGAAAAATGAGCAGCTCTTTCACCTGGACATCTGACTTGTACTTTAAAGAGCAAAAAAAATATATTCTCAGTTTTATTATAAGCTCGTTAAATTTTTAACACGCATCTGACTTCATTTAGATTTTGTAGGTCCTGTATGGAACGGAACGCGTTATTTGCCTGAGGGCTAATAGGAAATATCTGGAACAGGTCTTGACGTAAATCAATCTTGTACTACAGGGAATCGTTTAACTAAGTGCACGACTGTTCCTCTGTAAAGTATACTCATTTAACAAGGGAGCGTCCATTAGATAAGGACTTTTCAATTGCCGTCAGCACATAATGGCCAGTTATAAACGTGACCTTTGCAGGGTTAGTATTTGCGGGGTGAAAAAGCGCATATTCAGCAATCAGCAGATGATGAATGTGTAAATTGCTTAGCACACCTCCCGTATTACTTTGATGAATGACTCAGGGTTGCTAGCCCACTTGCAGAAGCCCTGGGCTCATGGATTGGCAAATTGACCCTTTTCTTACTACGCTAGGAGCCCCTAACAATTCTAAAGATCTGATTGATGTTCCAATACTCGTCAAAATTCAGTCTTTCCTACGAAAACTGCATTCATTTCTGCTGGGTTGAAACTCCTCGCTTGACGTGTATTAGATTACTGCCTAGGGTTTTCTGCTTCCCAATTAAACTGCCACCCAATTTAAATCGGAACTTGCAAAACGTGAGAGCTGCCAATGACTTAATGCCTTTATATGAACAGACAAAACACCAACGACCCATCCTATTCTGAAAACGTGCAACCTGTGACAAGATGCAACTCAATGAATTTACGAAAGGGAAAAATATGGGTTGTTTTAGCGACTTTTGTGACGTCAGGGCGTCATAAAAGGGTTGTAAATTTTCCTTGATGGGGTTACATATGTTCATTTTACGGAAAATCAATGTAAAGTTTGCCAAGTTTGCCGCCTGATTTGCCTGCAAATGTAGCATACCTAGCAATGACGTCTTATTTACAATGAAAAGGACTATGAGAAAAGAGAGATCCTAATATGGATCGTGGTGGTATCGAAGCGTGCGATCAAAATCGAGTGATTGCTATCATTCTTCTTTCTGCACTTCTGAAACTCTAAAGTTGTAGCTGATTTTTCAAGACTTCAATTGCAGCAACATCTACTAAATTTTAAATATATTTCACAGAATACAAACAGTGACGACATGGTTGTCAGAAAGAAACTATGGTACACGTGGCAGTTTGTGTTTCTATAATGCCGAATTTCTTGACTTTAAACACATTCTTATTGAATTCTGTATGGGAAATTGTAACGATCGGGTCATCTCGTCCTTCTAAAACGTAAACATGCAGCAATGAGAAAACGCGAGATTGAAAACTTGGATATGTTCCCTCGTTGAGACTGATGCCATGCAAGAATTTGAAATGCAAGATTCATTACCGACTACCAGGAATGTGCAATAGGCACGTGCATTATGACCGAACTTATGTCCAATGCTATTCAATCTTTCCATAATCGTGAGAAATCGCCGATTGGACAAATCCAGCTAAATCATGAGCATGTCATTATGAGTGACTAAAATATTGTGATATGTTGTGTTCGCTAAAAGGTGAATCTATCCAGTCCCACTGATGCCTAACGTCATATACACATGCAAGGCTAGTCAACTGGTTATCTTACAATATTGGGAACGTAAACTATGGTACAAGTCAAACTTGCGTCTTACATGATCATTTTTCTCACTGATGCATCAAATGTCCACCACGAGTCTGACATGAACCTTTTGGAGCATGTGTTTATGAGTAGCTATAAAATATTGTTGATAGGTGTTCGCGAAAAGATAAACACATCCTGCCCTGTCGTTCGTCCCCGTCAGAAACACATACAAAGGCAAGTGAATTATTTAACAGCAAAATACACGGGTTCCATCTGCAGTTGCATCGGACATCTGTTTTATAGAAAGAACCTCAATAGGTGTCAAATGTAAATACCAAGGATGAAGCTGCCGGAATGTTGCTCGACTAAAAAAGGGAAGTTGAATTTTGGAAAGTACAGTCTTTCAGTCTTACACCGAGCGTGTTTTCACCCTATATCGCTCAGAAATTCAAAAGTTTCCTGTGTACGATGTCAAATAGCTCAATAGCAAATGTTCTTGCATCAGTATGGAATAGTGAAATTACCACGTGTTCGCGACATCTCGAGGCCTAGTCAGAAGTTTGCCACTTCGTTTAATATAGCAAATATCTGGAAATATGTCTCCGACGTTGTCTTGATTTGGGGTTTGTAATACATTTATAACATGCGAAAATCCGGTAATATTTGTGTTGCATATATAGTGTACAATTATATAAGCTCGCCAAAGAGACTATTGATTGTAGCAACATTCATCCTATGTTGAGATGAAAGCATGATTAAACGGATCTAAATGTAAATATCGTGCATAACGCAAAGTGAAATTTTAGATTACTTCTGTCTGCAACGAAGGCAGTAATACATAAAAGTGTGTTCGTTGTAATTTTCACTTAAACACTGAATTCAGTGAATATATTTTTACATACTGAAAGAAATATCAAGAAAAAATATTTAGCCAGAGAGTTTTCCTTTGTTCATTTAAGGCTGTAAGTGTCCGTATAAGACTAGAGTGAATGAGCTTTTAGCAATATTCCTGCAATATCATGGCGGGGGACACTAGAAATATTCTTCACACATTGTACCCATGTGGGGATCGAACCCGGGTGTTCGGTGTGACGAGAGAACGCTTTCACCACTAGGCTACCCAACCGCCCTTATACGTTTCTTTAAACAAACTGGCACATGTAGACTTCAGGGAAGCTGGCAAGAACCGGGTTCAGTTCCCACAATTCATTGCGTTGGTAAAAGCTTTCATCTACGTAAAACTCGCAGTCACCTTCTGATATACCTTAGCCTGGAAAGCATTAACATAGCACTTGCCACACTGCATTGTTTTGTCAGTGCACTTTATATGAAAACATAAGAAGATCGACACATTGACTAAAAGATCTAAGGAAGATTTCTGGAAGACAAATAGCTTTGCCTCCAAGTGAAAGGGAAAACAGTAGCTCACTGAACTCTCGAGACAAAGCAAGCAAGTTGCTTCACAAACAGTTTGAGACTTCCATGTTTTACAGTCTCGTAAAGGACAACCAACGTTTCAAAAGATACGAAAAGCTTAATTTCCCAAAGGTATCATGCGCATGCGTGGGTTTACAAAACAGTGACTAAGGTTTGTATGTTGTAACTATACCTGCGAGTTTTTAGTCCTGTGTATTATAGCTTGATTATGCAAACCTTACTCGCTGACCCTGATTGGCACTTGTGTGGAAATATGGCTACCTTACATACAGATGCAACTCGAAAATAAAAGCAAATTGCATCAGAGTTTGAGTGAGAAGACAATAAGAATTTATGTACTTCTTCATCAATACGATGAATGCGAAATGTGGGGATAGGACACTTAAGCAAGCCGTAGGTACCCGATCACCAGTTGTATTTCGATGCACATCTCTATGCATATACCAGTGACAGCTCCACCTCAGTTAATATCAATGCAAAGGAGATTGAAAGGGAAGGTGAGCTTCAGGAGTAGCGATATGCTTATATCGTTCAATAATGGTCAACTAGCCAATACCTCCCACTGCCAGACCCATGTGACATAGAAATAAAGGTTACCAGTGATACCTTCTTTGTTTTTAGTTTCATAAAGATTATAAGTGACAAATTATATCCCTAAGACTGTAAGACAAGAGGGGTGACCACCACCAGTAGGCGGCCTTGACTCCCATTTTCTCGTTTTTCATCACTGTTAATGATAAACACATGCTTGTGATTTAGACGAAAAATCATACAATGGACGTTCTTCAGATAATGGAAGCGATTTTGTCAGTTTTGTTTTCACTTCCCCACTACATCCCCGGAGAAACACCTACTTTGATTCTGTGTTAAAACTGTTTTCCCATGATGAGTATGTTCTCTTGCCATATCCGTGTGCCACTCTGTCTGCTGAGTTGGCTCGGAACCCTCGTTTCTGCCGGCTGTGGGTGTTGTGAGGAAGGGAGGCGACAACGGCAACCAGCAGCAATCCTAGCATTAATAACGTTGTTCTCATCATTGTGGAAAATCTGAAACAAAGACGTCATCACTTTGAAGGTCATACATTGGATTGGTTTGAAGGGGGTTGGGGAAGTGTTGATCTCCTTAAATCAAAGTAAAAAACTGAACTAAACGAACTGATTACTTTTGCTTCCTCAAGGAATATACACTGTCGCAGACAATGCGTTCTTATTTATAAATGTATTGTGTGAAACATACAATGCTTCTGCAATTTTCTATTGATATTTTAGACTTAGGTTTTATGTAGGGTGCCAAAGGTGGGACAGGATACGTTCACGTTTTTCGCGAACACCTGGTATCATTACTTTGTGACAGTGATTTATAAACATATATGGTCGAAGTCTTACAATCGACTTTGATCTGGACATATATTTCTCGTTGAGTGAGTGAGTTTAGTTTTACTCCGCTTCTAGCAATATTCCATCAATATCACGGCGGTTGTGGTTGATGTGGAAAGTTTTGTCGGATGTATTACTGCAATTCTGAATATAATATGAAATTTGAGTAATCACACAAGGAATTACTTCAATCAAGATTGTTGAGCCTGACATCTGATTGAAGGTTTCTTTCTGTATTACAACGTTTTGAAAAACAGTTCAGTGACTCCACGGTGTGTCAATTTAATGTGGCAAGAAAGCCCAAGGTGATACAGTTTTCAGGCATATATGGTTATCATGAATCCAATCAGCTGGGTTATGGTGCTATCTGGTTAAGAGTAAACAGGTGATAATCTAGACCAGCACCTTGAACAAGCACTAGTTGCCTGGACTGCGCTATATAAATATCGTTAAATAATAATAAAAATAATAATAATTCCAGTTATACACGGCGTGTCAGAATATCTGGAGGGTCAGCCGGAACTGATACTGCTTCAGATATTCACCACTTTTGGTGATTACAAGCCTTCAAACATAATAGGAAGAACAATTGGTTTGGCCAAATTATGGTACTACGTCGTAAAGGCTATTGCTTGGATATTGTTAAATGTGGCGTAAGACAGCACTCACTCGCGCAAACATTGGTACCACCGAGAACAAGATTAACTATAATTAACTTTTTAATTATGATGTTCAAACTATAGTATGCCACTGTGGCTGTCTCCTAGGGACACATGCAAAACCCAACGTTGAAGTAATTTGCTCACATTTCCTTAATGCGGACAAGACACATGACTGTTTTATTCGTCCCCTTTGGCAAATATAACATCACAATTACCAGCTTGTCCTATCACGTCTAGGGGGTGATAATTATCACTAACGTGCTTGCCCATTTAATCTTCACTACCTATGAGAGTGGCTGCTGCCATCGAGGCAGACTCCAGACACCATCGTGTGTGTTTAACTTGACTACCATCATTTAACGGAACAGGGTTGTATACTGAGATGCGCCATGATCAGAACCCGTGTGTTTATGAAATGTGCAAATGATGACCATCGCCTGTGGGCACAGACAAGGCCAATGGTCTGGGGTCAGAGGGTACTGGAACTGGGAGGTTGCTATGGCTTCATGAAGCCTCCAAGAGATTAACCTTACATTTGACTTCCGAGGCTCACAAACACTGAGTTGTCTTTGCACAAACACATTCTAAATACACCCACCCACATCATGGACTGTGTATTTGACCTCTGCCCTACGGGAATGGTTTTAAGATGTGGATGTTGAGAGATGAAGGAAAATATTTAGCAGGGGAAGTGGATCGTTTCGTGGTAAAAACAGTGTGATTTCAAGTATATATCTCATCTTAAGAGAACGGAAAACACATTTGTCGTCGTGGTAACTATGCGATAAACGGAAAAAATATAGAAGAAAATAATTCACGGAGACGTAGCTCAGAGAAACAGACGGGAACACATAGAGACGGTCACAAAGAACAAACACAAAAATAATATATAAATATTGAGGTTGACGTATAAAATCATTCACGATCTTTGTTCAGAGGAAAGTACACATTTTCTTTTTCTTTTGATTCACATTTTTATCATGAAAGTAGCATTACTTTTGTACCACACGATAGAAAAACAACACAAGTAGTTCACAATTAATCGCAGTTTATCAGGGTGATGTTCATTTACTTCAGAAACTACTTGAATAAAAATAATCAAACTTATAGCATATATTGTGTGAAGCAATGCTTCATATTTGCACATTATAGTGTCAGTATATCGTAGTGACTGCAACAGAGATATATCTGCTTGAACAGTTCGCATAGATCCGAGCGTTAAATGACCAGTCATATCTCCTCTAGAGGGTGGTGGTATTTTTAACGACACAACGAAGAGACTACGCGTTTCGTTGGCAGAGAACCTTCTCTCCTTCTATTAGGAATCTTACCATATCCTCGCCTGGGGGTGTCAACGACTTTTCACAGAATTGAAGGATCATATTAGTGCCTGTCTTACCAGTGTTTGTGGGAATGAAGTGTAAAATAACGCCATCATCAAACGTTGTATTTGTCTAGTATCTGTTAAGATCCCCAGACGTTTCTAAATGAAGGTTTTAGATTGTCACAGCTAATGTGGTGGACATGACTTCAGACAAATCTAGCTTGGGTCACATACCTTGTTCTGGAGTGTTACATGTACGCCTAACCGTGTCTAGACAATTAATTATGCGGACAGCACAATTATTTGAAATAGAACCTACATACGCGTACAATACTTATCATGTTTTACGAAATAATTTAATTCCGGATCAGATACTGAATGTCGAATATGTATATTAAGCAATGAGACTTGATTCAGTGTTGGTTCGTAAAGGTTAGGCGGAAACTGAAGTTCACATGTGGAATTGCGACCGATGAGAATCAACCTTTGTCTGACTGAACATAAAATTCCAAAGGCTAATTTACACTGATTATATATATATATATATATATATATATATAACCTTTAAATATTGACTGGTCTATGTATGGCAGATATATATATATATATATATACCAAAAGCTATGGAGTTAGTTTTCTCACTCTCTTCCTACCGCAAACCGTACACCGACTCTTGACATATAGGAATATGCAAATACTTTTATCTACCTCACGTGTGTCTCAAATGCACATGGAATCTCGTTAGCGATTCTCACAGTTCCCATTGTTAGCGGTTCCTTTTTTTCAATGCGACGTTTCGGTATACTTTTATTAAGCGAGGCACGGTACCTGTACGATAATGACTTTAAAGAATTCAATGATTATTATAAATAAATCAACTATATTTTCCTTGCTGCAACAGGTTCTATAAAGCCACTGACAGATATAATCCTGCTTGATGAACAGTTAATGCTGGTTCAAGTAAACAACGTTTATAGCGAACACGCTTAAAACGAACTGATGGATACCGTATATAATGGATACCGGTTGTATATTTTAATAGAAATGACGAACTACTGTTATAACGAACAAAACATAGTCGTCTTTTTCATTTCTCTATATCTGTAGTTTACTGTAATTATTTCTAATCACAATTTATCTGTCTAAACACCCCCAAATACCATTTTGATGATATATTACCAAATGAAATGCATAAATCAAAATGTAAGTTCGAACACAACATTCATATTGCCACTGACATATTCCATCATCCCGAGTTACGTCATGGATGTTTTGTAAATTGCCTTGCTTTAATTTTTCATCAGAAGCTGGTAAAGGATGTCAACAACTAATAACTTTAAATGATTTTTCAAATAATATTTTAAAAACATGATATTGTCGATTTGCGACACTAACATAAATACATCATAGTAATCCATAATCATAAGAAACCTCTGAAAAAGGTTTTATAAAGTCCATTTTCCGTTAAACTAAGGATACAATTATAATGGCAGTGCATATATGTGACCATGAAATATTCACGTACAGACACATATACTGCTTTGGACAATTTTAGCATTCATATATCGAGATGTTTTACGGAAAATTAATGCTTTTCACCTAGGTTTGTGTTGGAAAAACATTTCATTAGTCAGGTCTGTATTTTGTAATTACAAAACATATTTTATTATCTCTAGGTTCGTCGTCTGTTAACCAATTTCATGACAGGCACTCTGTTGACGGAATAGTCGAAGTGTCTTCAGACTCATGACACATCGATTTATACATCGTGTGAAAATCACGTATCCGGTCAAATGAACGGAAACATGTTTTTTCTAGCTTGAATGTATTGCTTTCGTTTCCTGAAGCGTCCTATATTTCTTGTGATTCCTACCCAAAAACCAAACAGTCAAAAATAGATGTTGTCCTTTCGGAAGACTTCGTAAGTTTTGTATCAACAAATCGTACAGACTGTTACAGTAACGATCAAAACCTTTGTTTATATTACTGATGGATATTGAACGGTAGAATTATTATTTCATAGCGAAAGTAATAGGTTACTAACGCAAGACTCGGTAATGCGACAGTTTGATGTAGTATTTCTCTCCCTGGATTCTGTTGCATAAAGCCCGAAACGACCCTTTGAATGTTTCAAAGGGACAGTAAAAAGAGATTAAGTTTGCATGACGAATACAGACGTGTATATACGACGAAATTGATAGAAAACACTAAGTCATTTCACAATGTTGCACTATTTTTTAAAAGAATAAAATAAATGACTTAACATTATGACAAATGAAAGTGACGCTTCATATTTACATAATAAGCAATGCTAATATTACGTACTTGATGCAGCTTTGAAAAAGGCGTGTCTGTTATAAAGAGTCATCAATCATACCTTAATGGAAAACAAGTTGTGTAAATTCTCTCACAAATCAGTACAAGCAACTGTGTAAGGCACCAACATGAATATCGATAACCACACGAAACGATTCTTCAAATAACTCTAGATGGGAGGTGGTGTATTGAAATTATTCGTTATTATTCGCATTTTCTGTCACTAATGAAGCAACCCTATTTACGTGTGTGTATGCTTGTATTGTCAAGAAGCGTGATATAGAGGAGCCATAGATCCCACGACATGTCCGCATTGCAGTGTAAACACGGGAGCTCTAAAACTCCATTAGTTGGTCCGCGTGTCTTCA